CAGGACATTGAGGCTGGAGCATTCAGGCCCTGGGAGGAGGGTGGCCATCTCTGACAAGGACCCATCGCAGTGGGTTGTCCCCTGATCCATGCTCTTCCCCAGCCTGGAGACACCTGGTGACATTTCTCCTTGCTCCTTCTTCCAGGTCTGCCGGCAGATACGCTGCAGGGCCACCGGGACCGCTTCTTGGAGCAGTTCAGAAAGTAAGTGCCCAGAACACGGGGAGCCGGCTCTCCTGCTGCTGCTGATGCTCCGGGGGTGATCCAAGGGTGGAGGAAGCACGGAGGGACGCCCGAGCCCCTGTGGTGGGGCTCAGCAGCTGAGCGATGGAGATGCAGGGAGTACAGGAGTCGGTCTTGCTTGGGGCTCTGAAATCCAGCACGCTTTGACCTCTAGGAGCTTCATCCAAAACAGCCGCTCCGCTTGGCTAATCCACAGCTATTGAATTACCAGATAATGGGGTTATTAATTCTAATGAGGTGTTCCACCGCTGATGGCACATCCCACGATTTAAAACCCTCAAGTCCTTTAATTGCATTTTTAAAGGCAATTTGCAGTTGCCGTGCTGAGATGAGAGTCTGGGCATGGGCCAAGAATCTGAATGGGGTGGGGGAAAGGGGGTTTGCTGGTGGGGATGCCCCAGGGATGCTGGGAGATCTTACTGCAGCTGCTTAATGCTTAAAGGGGGCTGATAAGAAAGAAGGAAAGAGATTTTTGACCAGGGTCTGCGGTGACAGGACCGAGGGGCTGTGGTTTTAAACTGAACAAGCATGGAGCTAGGTTGGGCATAAGGCAAAAATGCTGGACAGTGACAGTGGTGAGACACAGGCACAGGTTGCCCAGAGAAACTGCGGATGTCCCTTCCCTGGAAGTGCCCAAGGCCAGGTTGGACAGGGCTTTGAGCAACCTGGTGAGAGGTTAAATGAGATCAAAAGAATGAGCAGTGAAGTGATGTGCCCTCTGGTACATGATTATTTAGGGTAGTCAGAATGAAAACTGGCCACCGAGAGCAGGGGGAGGATGTCACGGCACTGCGGGACAGCTCGATTCAAGGTCACAGACTGCAAACCAGCGCCCATGGGCACAGACGTCAGCAGATAGCAGGGCTGTCTGTGGACTCTGACTACCTGGGGCAGAGACCTTGAGGCGGGTATCAACAGCACAGCGATACCAACTGGGATGCCGGGGTAGCTGGAAGGAAGGAGATCCATAAGCTGGGCGCTGCCATTCCTCCCCAAAATCGGAAATCCTGAAACGAGGTCGCCCTGCTACTGGGGGAGATGCTCCTGCAAGGAGATGAAGAGAAGTGGCTGTACCATTTCCACTGGCCTGGGAAGCCAGGCGAGGGGTTGGAGCTACCCCCGTTTGGGGTGGGCTGCCTGGGTTGGGCAAGAGCCATCTCTAACACCTCCTTGCCCCTTGCAGGCTGAAGGACCTCTTCTACCGCTCCAGCAACCTGCAGTACTTCAAGCGGCTGATTCAGATCCCACAGCTGCCGGAGGTGAGACCCGTGGTCCCTGGTCCCCACGCTCGCTGTCCCCATGGCCAGGAGCAGCAGTGGAGCTGGTGGCACTGGGAGAGTGTTCGGAAAGGGTCACCAGCCACCTTGCCTGGCTTCCCAGACCAGTGGCAGTGTGGGGCTTGTGGGACCTGAGGTTCATCCTTGCATCCTTCCCTGAGTTGCATCCCACGGGATGGAGCTGTGCCTCCAGCCAGGGACTGGGATCTCCTCTTGCAGTGACCCTCAGCCCTTGCCAGGATCCATCCGTGTGGGTCCTGGCACCATTCCTATGGGTCTGGACATGGCCAGCTCCACGTGGAGGCAGGATTTTGACCAACAGTGCCCGAAGCCCTGCGGCGGTGCTGGTCCTCCCCACCCAGCCGTGCTCCCCTCCCTCCCCAGAACCCTCCCAATTTCCTGCGTGCCTCGGCGCTGTCAGAGCACATCAGCCCTGTGGTGGTCATCCCTGCCGAGGCATCCTCACCTGACAGTGAGCCCATCACAGACCTGGTGGAGATGGACACGGCCTCACAGGTGAGCTGCCATGGCACTGCCCATGCCCCTCGAGCTGCGGAGAGGACAGAGCGGGCCCTTCAGCTCCAAGATAGGGATTATTTCTTTGAAACCGTGCCGTGGTGGGGGCTGAGACAGTGGGGATGGCCTGGGGAACATCACTACCGGGGACCATGTGGGTACTGCTAAGTCTGAGCCAGGCTGAATTCATCTCATCTCACAGTGCTTCTCTTTGTGGTTTGGTGCCCTCCAGTGATGGCCAGCGCTGGAGATGTTTGGCTTCCCAGCATTGTCCCTCGGCTCACTGTGCTTGTGATAGGTCTTCTCACCCCTCTCCACCAAGGGTTGTCTCTGGGCTCAGAGCGTTTCAGGAGGGGAAGGGATGAGCAGTGACATGACTTTGGGAATCTTTGCCTGCTGGGAATTAGGTGGGGATGGACAAGAACTGCTCAATATTCAGCGCCCTGGGAACAGCAGGATGAGTCTAGCCCCAGTGTCTGGGCAGCACAAGCAGGCAGTAGCCCTGGTGGCACCTGGGCTGGCTCAGTGGTGTCACAAGGGACATGGAGAGGATGAGAGCTCCTGGGGTGTGGTGTGTTCACCCCAGGTCCATGCTGCTCTCTCCCCACAGAGCCTGTTTGACAATAAATTCGATGACATCTTCGGCAGCTCTTTCAGCAGCGACCCCTTCAACTTCAGCAGCCAGAACGGGATGAAGAAGGATGACAAGTGAGCAGTCCTGGTGATGTTACGGAGGTGGCCAGGATCAGACCAGGCTGTCATGGCACAGCAGCCGTGGTGGCACAAGGGGCACCTCTCCTCCCAGGATGTGTCCCCACAGCACCACTGAGGATGTACCCGGTGTCTCTTCTTCCCAGGGACCGGTTAATTGAGCAGCTTTATGGGGAGATCGCAGCCCTGAAGGAGGAGCTGGAGAACTTCAAGGCCGAGGTGGGTGACAACCATGCAATAGTGGGTGAGCACCCGTGTGACGGTCCAGGGGCGGGATGGGACCCGACAGCTCGCACTGAGAATGAGGATGGTGGGGTGGTGCCTGTGTCCC